TGGAAGCACACCGCCCCAAAAGAAAAAACCCCCCTAAAAAAAAAAAAAAAAAGGAAAGAAAAGAACTCATGAACCCCGTGTCCACACTAGACACCCAGGGCCTCTCATTCCTAGAAGCCGCCCAGAGTTCTCTTAGACACCCCACGTGGCTGTCTTTGGCCTGGAAAACCCTCTCCCCTGCTGCGGGGAAGACTCTAGTTTGTACAAAGCACCTCCCACCAGGAGCGTGGGCTCCCTCTCTCCCCTCTCCCCGGCAGCCTGGCCCGTACAGGCTTAGGGGGCGGCAGGCCCGGTGAGGGAATGCCGGCGGGAGGGTGGCGGGGAGTTGTGGTGACAGGGCCAGACTTGGCAGGGCGACTCGCATCCCACTCCAGTCCCTCCTCCCAGCCCCTCGGCCCACTGTGCGGACCGGGCAGGAGGCCGGGAGAGGAGCCGGGGTGTGGGTGCAGACACGCGGGGCCTCCCTGTCCCCAGGTACATCCCCGAGGGAATGCAGTGCTCCTGCGGGGTGGACTACTACACGCCGGCGCCCGAGGTGCACAACCGGTCCTTCGTCATCTACATGTTCGTGGTCCACTTCACGGTCCCCATGCTCGTCATCTCCTTCTGCTACGGGCAGCTGGTCTTCACCGTCAAGGAGGTACGGGGCGGGGGCTCTCCTCCCTGCGCCCCTGCCCGGGGCCCGGCCTCGGCCTGGACTCAGCCCCCTGTCCACGCAGGCAGCTGCCCAGCAGCAGGAGTCGGCCACCACGCAGAAGGCGGAGAAGGAGGTCACCCGCATGGTCGTCATCATGGTGGTCGCCTTCCTGGTCTGCTGGGTGCCCTACGCCAGCGTGGCCTTCTACATCTTCACCCACCAGGGCTCCGACTTCGGCCCCATCTTCATGACCGTCCCGGCCTTCTTCGCCAAGACCTCCGCCGTCTTCAACCCGGTCATCTACATCATGATGAACAAGCAGGTGCCTGCCGCGGGCTGGGTGCTCCGGGCTGACCACAGGCCCCTGGAGCAGGCAGGGCAGCTCCGCCAGGCTGCGGGCAGCTCTGCCACGCAGCAGCCTCGTCCGGGGGCTCGTGAGACATGCAGGGTCCTGGGCCCCACCCGGCCTGCTCAGAACCTGCATTTCCTATTTTTGGGGGCTAGGAGGGTGGGAGAGTTTTTACTATAGGGCGCTTGTCAGAAGGACAGAGAGAGACAGAGAGACAGAAAGCGAGAAATCACCCCCCAGGGGGGATGGCCACGCCACAATCCCTTCTCCTCCATTCTCCTCTCGGGATCTTGGGCACGCACACACACGTGCCTGGCGTGAATTTTAAGCCACCGGGTCCAGGACTTGAACCACAGTCAGCTACGTGGGAGTCCAGCGACATAGCCATTACGCTCACTGCTGGTCCCAAGGGGCCTGCATTTCCAACCTGCCCTCCAGTGTGGGAAGCGCTGTCCAGGTGGCCCGGAGCACGGAAGCTCACTGTAAGAGCCAAACAGCCCAGGGCAGGGCGTGGGATGGTGCCAGCGCCTGTGAAGTTCAACTAGGAGCTAAAAGGGCCTGTTCTGGGGGCGAGCAGATGGCGTAGCAGTTGTGTTGCTGGACTCCCACCAGGTCAGCCACAGTTTGAGTCCCGGGACCGGTGGCTTCAAACTCACGCTGGGTGCATGTGCGTGTGTGCCCAAGATCCCAGGAAGAGAATGGAGGAGAAGGGATTTTGGCATGGTCATCCCTCTAGGGGGTGATTTCTCCCTCTCGCTGTCTCTATCTCTCTAAGAGAAGAATGGAGGAGAAGGGATTGCGATGTGGCCATTCCCCCTGGGGGGGTGATTTCTCGCTTTCTGTCTCTCTGTCTCTATCTTTCTGTAGAGTGCATGAACCCTATAGCAAAAACCTCTAAAAAAAAATTTTTTAAAAAGAGGTGAAACCCCAAAGTCCCGGAATGAGGGAGATGACTGAGAATGCCGTCAGGGGGCTTGGAGCTGTGTGGACGGAGGTGGACGTGGCCAGCCGTGCCCGTCTGTTGCACAGGGGGTGGGAGCCCTTCCCCATGACACTTGCCCTTTGCCTTCCAGTTCCGGAACTGCATGCTCACCACCATCTGCTGCGGCAAGAACCCGCTGGGTGACGACGAGACCTCTGTCACCAGCTCTAAGACGGACACCAGCCAGGTGGCCCCGGCCTAGGCCCTGCCTGGGACTCTGTGGCCGACTGTAGGAGTCTCCCGTCCTCGACACCCACCCCAGCCACGGCCGCCCCCCCCAGGAGCCACACCTGTCAGAGTGAAGTCACACAGGCTCCCTGAGGTTTTGTTTGTTTGTTTTCCCCCAAAGAAAAAAATTAATGAGAACAAAATGAGCCTTTCCATTGCACGGGACAGCCTGAGATGGGACGTCCACCAGGACTGTGGATCGGCCGTCCCTCCCCGGCTCACCTCCCAGGAACAGAACCCTTGCTCTCTGGAAGTGTCCCCGCTTAGGGATGAGTGTCTAGCACAGTACGGGCACACAGTAGGTGCTTTAAAAATGCTCGGTGGCTGAAGGGAGGGCTCGTGGGGAGACGGGTGCAGGGAGACTGGCAGGAGGGCCTGCCTGCCCTCTGAGACCCTGAGCAGCCCGCTCACCCTGGCTGGGGCCCTGGAAAGGTACAGCCCCTCCCTCTGTGACCCGGACTTCCCAAACCTAGACCCGCCAGAGCATGGCTGCTGCCAAGATCAGATGCAAGCGTGTGTGTGTCCACAGGTGTGCACATGTGCCTGTGTGTGCGTGTGTGCATGTGTGCATAGGTGTGCGTGTGCATACGTGTGCACGTGTACATGGGCATGCGCATGTGTATGGGTATACATGTGTGCACAGGTGTGCATGTGTGTGCATGTGAGCAGGTGTGTTTAATCACTTTGTAGATTAACAAGGAGCTGGACACGAACACCGACTCATACAATTGGGGTGATCCCCTCTTCCTGACAGTGACTCTTTGGAGACAGGCAAGGGCCCAGGCATTCAGACCATGGGCTTTTACTCCACCCCAGGAGGATTTGCAGTTCGCCAGGCATCAAGGCCAACCCTGGCTGGGTCTGGGCTGAAGGAGAGACGGTCACGGGGAGGCAGAATGCAGTCATTAGACCCAAAAGATACTGGGGCTGGGAGCCCAGGCCTGGGCCCAGGCTCCATCTCCAGGGTGGAGCCCCAGGCCTGGTGCCTCCCCTTCCCAATGTGAGGCTGAGGGAGAGGCCTTTTGGCTTCTGGAAAGCCCCACTCGTGTGCCCCAGTGCCCCACCTAAGGCCCGAGCAAGCTTCCAGAAGCACCTGCCCTCAGCCAGCAGAGAGCTGGGTCCTGATGTCGTCCCTGACCAGAGAGCTCACACACGAAGCCTGGGAAATCCAGCTCCCCTGGAGATGTTCCCGGTCTCAGTTCCCACATTCCTGGCTAGACAAGCCCCTGTCTTCCGCCGTCCCAAGCTCTTCCCTGTTCTAGAGAGTCTGCTCTGACCTCGGGGCATCACAGCGGAGCTGCCTCGGTTACCATCCCTCCTTCTCCATGCCACTGAAGTGGGAGGTCCCAGCTCTCCGAGCTCTGCCTGGAGACTGAGGCCAGTGGGGGCATTAAAAGCTCAGCTGCTACACTTGACAGGAGTGGCGGTGGTTTTCTCACCAACTCTTTAGCCATAGCGTGGATGGAAAGCGCTGCTTCCACCTGACCCCCTGACCCTGGGCTAGCCAGGTCAGCAATGAGCAGAGCACCCTGGGGGTTCGGGGTAGAAAGAAACAGCCTAAGAGTAGAAATGCCCCAACTTTGGAGTTACAGAGACCCCAGTGATCATACAGCCGCCAGCACACTTTGTCACCTCTCAGCTTCTTTATCTGCAAAAGAGGATCTTTAAATGGGTCTTCAGGGGTTATGAAGCCCACACAGTGGGCAGGCAGACAGGGAGAGATGCTGGCTTTACCAGAGACCCCTCCCCTGGGGAATGTGACAGCTCCTGAGAGGTGTCCTCCTTCTCCAAGGTGGGAGTGGGCGGCAGGAGCCTGAGATGGAAGGTCCCATGTCATGGCAGGGCTGGGGCACGTAAGACCCAGGCTCTCCCCCTTTGGCCCTCTTTGCTGTCCCCCTAGGTGACGTTCACCATGACGTCTTTGGGTGCACGTGGGAGGAAACCCAGCTCAATCGGGCTGAAGCGAAAGGGAGACGTTACTGGCTCATGTAAGCAACGGCCCAGGGCTTCGGGCACGGGGTGCAGGTGCTCGGGGGTGTACTCGGCCTGTCCCTCCCTCTCCGCCTGCACGTCTCTCCAGGCTCGGCTGTATTCCCAGGCTGCCAGGTCCCAAAGGGCTACAGAAACGGTCCCCGCACGTCCAGGGTCACCACGGCCCCCTGGAAATGGGCTTCTTTCCCCCTTCAGCTCTTGCCAACGTCCCATGCAGAGTTCTGATTGGCCAGGCCTGGGTCACATGCTCACTCCAAAGCCCCACACCATGGTCAGGGTGGAGACTCATCCTCTGATGGGACAAGCCCGGGTCACCTGATCCCTCTAAGCCAATCACATGCCCTCCCCTACAGCCCTAGACAGGCTCAACCTCACATGAGCCAGAGCCGTGTGGACAGGGAGAGGAGGGCTCCCTGACGCAAGCCCTGCTGTCACCAGGGGAGGCGGGCAGGAGGCGGGGTGGGGGGGGGCTCTACCTAAACCAGTGACGTCAGGAGCGTGGGCAGACCCGTCTGCCACAGCAGGGACAAGAGTCCACGTTCTCCCCCTGCACCTCAGAGGCCGTGCTGGGCTGGGGGTGCGGGCAGAGGGGAGCACGTGGCACTTCAGCTCTCTGTCCCGCAGGCAGCCACGCTGTCACTCTTACCCCAGGCCACTTATTCTGAGGAGTGGCAGGTGTGCCCCA